TGATTGAAGTTTTTAATATAGTCTACATGAATGTTTGAATAGACAATTTTTCGTGTATTATTATCTATAGTAAACTATTCGATCATCGTTAATAAAAATATAGGCGAATCTATTTGTCGCCGCAGTTACATAAATCTCAAAATTTTAAAATCGAAATAACTCAAAATTATGCTTATGAAATCAACTTCCGAGTCTTAACAAAAAATATTCATTGCATAATTTTACTATATAACCTTTTTAACTCTAAATATAACTATAAACAAAATACGGTGCTGTCACCACCTGTGACAAATAGATTATTTCCATTAATCAAATAAAAATTTAATAAAACTTTTTTAAAAAACTCTCTTTTGTTTAAAATATAGATTCTGCCGAGCAATTGAGCAAACTTTCAAGTTCGTTAATATGTAATTTACAGAGGAGATACAATTTGAAGTTTAAAAATCTTATATGAACGACTATAATATCTCCTCAATAATTTACATATTAACTTTAAAAATTTTACTCAATTGCTCAGCAGACCCTATATTTTAGAAAAAAAGAACGCTTTTTTTAAAAAAAATAATAAATTTGTAATAAATTTGATAAAATTTGTCAAATTTGAGTTTTTTTTAAATATAAATCGTCGTCTTTGTTACACAAAACTCACTAGTAATTTTACTATCGCTATGAGCCCCGGAATTTGATTCGACCTAATCGAACCTAGGTGCCGCACAAAAAATGCGCGGCAGATCCTCGATTTTGATTGGCTAAAAAAATCAAGCCGGAATTACTCATAATTTTACTAATGAAATCGCAACCGCCCATTAAGTGAAAATTGTTCCTGGGTCAATTTTACCATAATGCGTGCTTATTTTTTAAAAATTTCTATTTTTGTAATGAAAAAATTAAAAAGTTAATTCCGGCCGGAATTTAGTAACCAATTTTGTAATGCGGACCAAAATTTCGAAGATCTTCGGCCATTAGCCAATCAAAATCGAGGATCTGCCGCGCATTTTTTGTGCGGTACCTAGCGGCTATGAAGATCACTTACCAAAAATGGGGTTTCCGGTAGTAAAGTGGAAAAGATGGAAAACATAGAAATAAGGGAATAAATGATAAATACGATATCAGTGAGATATATGGATAGTGAGTAATAATAGGATTAATTAGCTTATATACGATCAATAGATAAAAAGATTATCAGGAATAAGACTTTTAATAAGTCATAAGATAGTATAAGTATATAATAAAGGCTTCTCGTCCTTGAGGAAGCATATCATTCGTAAAACCCGTCTCCTAATAATCCTATACCCTCTATACCCGATAAATAAAATACCTACACCCTGATCTACTGCTTAAGTGGCATAAGTAGTAAGATCGTTGCTTTCTTGCTCACGTGATTGTACCGCCGGTTGTTTCTCAACGAACTGAGGACTATTGTGGTTTTGTTGTCCAACTTTCCCACCGTACCGTGGACAGTTGTGGTTGTGGTCTTTTTGTTCCGGTTTGAGATCCAAGTGAAGGTCCCAGACGTGGTTATTGTGTCCAGTGTCCCGACGTACTGTGGATACTGTGGCATTTGTTTGTGATAAAAAGTTACCCCCGAAGTATTGACGACCGAAGCCTTGACTTATCCACTCCGATACAGTCGTCCGGATCTTGTTGTTTTGGTTTGGTTGTTTTTGGGTTGACCGGAAGAACAGACTTTCTGCTGTCACTGGTATTATAGAAATTTGAGATTCCACGATAAATCTTGTAATGGGTTAAATTAATTTATACTTTTTTCAGCGAGTTCCTTATTAGATCTTTAAAGAATCTAAATCCTGTCCAGGCACCAACCTGGTACACACTTTCCGGATGTCCTCGAGGATAGTACGTACGTATATGTCTTCTTACTTCATAGCCGTGACGTTGTAGGTAGTGACTACCCTGCTCCTTTAGTAAAGCTCTTGTCGTAGCTGTTTGCAAATTTATAAAATGTACTACCGATAATATAAATGGGTTACAGCATTCCGGTTTTGGATTGTAGAAAACAATCAGAAGCATGGAAATTTATGGAAATACGACACTATTTTTTACTAGATCATCCAAATGCAGCCTTTAAATATCAACTTGTGTTTTGTGAACAAAGAATTTGGATCTTAGATGTATCAAATGATCACGGACGGAAAAAATAATGCATGATTGTACGTACTATTTGTGATATTCAATACCCGAATATAGATATATAGTCATTACACAGTTTCAGATCGAAGTCATAAGAAACATATACCAAAATATCGAATTGTTTAAATGAAATGTGAGGACTGAGAACTGTAAGGTTTAAATGAGATAGAAGCTGGTGTTAAAGTGGTTAGTAACAATAATGTAATTGAGATATCCTATTTACTTTATTGCACACACAGTCAATTATGGTCATTTTTATGAACAGAATGATTTTGGATTAAGATTTGCTTAAACTTAAAAATACTTTAAGATTTAAGGATGAAAGTCATACAATATCTTTCATGCGACTATAGTGTAAGGTTGTTTCAATTGAGGAAAAAAATACAATTATACAGAATTTTATAGTTTTTTACAACAGAATCCCTGATCTGAATTATACAATAAAAATTTTTTTTTACAATTAAATATTTGCAAGATTATTTTAAAATCATACATTCATACAAAAATTTGAGAGTCTCGTCTCGTCGTTCATTAGCTTTATTATAAACGATCCATACAATACTAGTGTGTAGTATGAAGTTATTAAATTATTCAACTTTTTTTAAACTGTATGCAAATCAATTCAGCTCGTCGGAACCATATTAAAAAAACTTGAATTTAAAGAACGTATGGGTATATATGTCGTACCTAAAGTTAAGTTCCGACTTCACACTAAAGTTACACTTGCCTAAAATTACCTAAAAATTACTGTCTAATGCAATTTGGTGATTATTAATATTTGTAATGATTGTCGCAGCTGATGCTGAAATTTTTTCATATTTTATTATAAAATTATAAAAAATTTTTGGGCCTTTTTTTTACACTTTTTTTTCATAGTTAGGTTAGGGTTAGTAGGGTAGTTTTATTAATAAAAAAGTATATGTGGATTTAGTAGGTATTATAGATTTAAATAGAGACCCCAAATTTCAGCATCAGCCGTTTTCAGCATCAGCTGCGACAATGATTTATAATGATTTATGAATAATTTATAACGGCTTCATAATCAGTTTCATAAGCAGTTTACAGTTAAGAAAAGCAATTGACCAATTAAATATGATGTTGATTTTAATTATTATACGGTTTCATAAATGGTTTCATAAGCGATTCATAAGTGGATTGTAGCTAAGGTGAGCAATTGGCCGATCAAATACAATCGTGCAATTAAATTTTACCGGAGATCATGCAATATCACATAAATGATTGAATTAAAGTTTATGAAATATTATCATTAATTTTTTAATTGCCACCAAATCAAAAAAACCGCCATATAGCATGTATGATCTAATTCCAGTCAAGAGTAACTTCAGGCACTGGAGTTACAATTTTAGGCAGGTGTCAAATTCACGCACGACAATTACGTAATAAATTTAAATCTTTTTATAGCAAATAATTATTTATTACTGCAATATTGTATACCAGTCAAATTTATTAAACATGTGAATATCAAAAATCAACCAAGCACGAACTATTGACATATCAGTTGCACAATCTATATATGCACCAATTATGCACCATATTTTTATGCTGCATTATGCGGCAATTTAAACTATTGTACATTATATGACAGAAATAAGGCAGATTACATTTTAAAAAATTAATACCTTTCATAGCGATAAATTTTGATCCAATTTAATTATTTAATAGTCAAAAGAAAGCTTAGAAGCTTAGATCTTAAGCTTTATTTCGACCACTAAATTATTAAGATAGTTCGAAATTTATCGCTGTGAAAGGTAAAGAATTATTTTTTTTAAAAAAAATATCAATTTGCCTTATTCTATTGATGGTAGTTAGAGATGTGCCGTATGCATTATGCAGGCTTAAAAACGCACATAAAAGTTACCGTATTCCTCCGAAATAGGCACCCTTTTTTGCTATAAGGTTGCCTATTTTTGGGTATAATCTCAATTAATAATTTGAATGATTTGATATTTAGTTACTTAGTTCTATTATATAAGAGGTGCTTATTTTCGGGTATATATGAATTGTAGGGGGTGCTTATTTTCGGAGGATTACAGTATTATGTAATTTTGATTTAACAACAATCACTTTATAGACACTTGTTCCTATCAAATTCATAGCCTGTGAAATTCAACAAAACATTAATCTATCAGGTCTGTTTCCACTAAATAAATCTAATATTTTATGTTTTCAAATCCGATAACCTCTCAGTAATAATATAAAGTTTGTTCACTGCATATAAGTTTGAGAGGTCCACAGTATATTATACAGAATTATACAATGTTGCATTATGTGATGCAAAGCCAAAAAAACTTGAATTCGCACATCTCTAATGGTAGTCCATACTATGCGGTTTATGCAGTTTATGCAATTTACATAAAATCATTGATAATTGCCAAATTCGGGCCTACGCGGAAAATACAGAACAAATTAGGAGAATAAGGTTTAGGCCTATTCATGAGTTATAGAGATTTTGATAGAATAGTCAGTTCTTGCAGTGTAAACAAACAGATAAATAGGGCCCTTCGGGGAGATAATTCCTGCTTTGCTCACAATAAAAAGTCTTAATATCTATTACCAAATCCCTCTATATTAATAAAGTACATACAATATAATACATCGTTTGAACTACACTCCCTATACTTTATGCTATATTACTAATATTCGCACGACTCTATTACAACCACTCTACCAAATCTAACACGCCTTTTTAATCCAACCTAACCTAACCCGATTACATGACGTCTAGTTCAGTGATCGCCGATTTCTCGATTGACAATGTGAATAATTATACATTATAAATACCAAACCGCCATCATTATTATATACTAACAACAGACTTGTTCCTTTTTGCTATGGCCGGAAAAAACTTAAATCAAGGTTTAATTCAAATTTCTGACTCTAACAATGAAAATAACTTATTAGTTGCTGAAAATAGTTTAGCTCAACAATCACGCCAACGATTTGAAAATAATGACAGAAAGAGCATTTGTTGGGAGTATTTTGAACCATTTAAAGTTCCGAAGCGTGGAGAGATAACAAAATGTACTATTGATGGATGTAATACGAAATACTTATGGCGCGGATCCACTTCTAACCTTGTTGGTCATCTTAAAACTAAGCATGGTATAATATCCACAACAACTATTCAACCACCATTAACAAACAATAACTCTAGAAACCTTGAATTAGAAGTTAACTTACCAGTAATTAAGTTTATTGTTTCCTCCGTATTACCTCTTAACATTGTTGATAATTTAAAGTCTTCTGGGCTCGTTAATCAACAAATTACTTCTAATATTATAGAAAAACAAATAGACCAAGTGTATGATCGGTTATTCTCTCAACTGAAGTCAAAAATCCAGCAGGCAAAATCTGTCATGCTCTCTATTAGCAATAATTATCATGATTATATTACAATCACTTATGATTGGTTAACAGAGAATTTCGAATTTCGTAAAATCCTTTTGCATGTGAATAAATTGGATTCCCTGAATGGAGATACACTTGCTCATGCTATACTCGAGGCTTTAATTAAGTGGGAACTAACTAACTTGAAGTTCATTAGTTGTAACCTGATAGAATATGATTTTATTGATAATTATTATATGTATGATGTAAATGGAAAAAATGAAGATATTAGTATATGTATGATCGGGGGTAGTGGCGATGATTTAATAAGACATAGTTTAAAAAGATGGGCCGAAGAAAATAGCAATACGCAAGAAATGTCTAACATTATCACTGCTGTTGTGAATGCTATCGATAAATTTTGTTCAGTAATAGAATTTTTAAAGGACAATAGAGTGCAAAGAATAATAAATGGTGTCCAAATTGCGGAAAAAATTAGTTGCGATTGCAATTATCATAAAATAGAATTTCTTACATTAATAATGAAACCTTTCAAACAATTAATTAATAATTATAGTAATAGCAATGATAACTTTATTAGAGAAAATGTAGGCAAGTTTAAAAACCTTTTATTAGATAAATTGCCATTTAGCATATTCTTTCCTGAATTATTACGATTGTTTAAACCTTTGGAGCATATTAAAGTCGTTACTATGAGAAAACTTAGAGATATGTTAGTTAATGCATCTAATATTTTTAACGAGATTTCTCAGTATGTGGTGACTATGACTTATCAGCATTATTGGGAACTTGAGATCCTCAAATCGTTTCTGAAATTTTTAATTAATTCATATCTGGACATCCACCAGAAGATAGGTTTGTTTTTAGATCCACATTCGAAATCAATTTTCATTAATGATGTAAGTTTATTTAAATTTTAGCTTTATAAGATTATAAAATTACAATTAATGTTAATATGTTTCGTATAACAAATTAGGAGGATGTTAAAAAGCTTGTGCTAGATGAATGTCAAGATTATTACTCGAAAACTGACAATAATTCAATGCAAGACTTAGCAAATGAAGAATTAGAACGCTATAATAAGCTTTCACAAGTTATAATTAAAGAAAACGATCCGTGTGAATGGTGGCAGAAGTCGAAACATCTATATCCTGGGCTAGCGACGCTTGCGATAAAATACTTGCCTTTACTAAAATTAGATGACGAAGAAGTTCCTTTAAAAAATCCGGATAAATTTATAGACGTTTATAAGAATGATGAAATAATTGATAAGATGACATTTTTACAATATAATATGAAGTACATTGATCTCTGAATATATATATACAATGTTTTATTGTCCGAAGGACATTACGGGAGAGTCATAGTGACCTGGATGTGTGTGTCCGCAAATTAAGGGGTTTGATTGGTTGATCTGATAAAAACAAACTTCTCCGAAAATACCCATTGTCGGACTGATCCGTGATAAGTCCTCCGGACCTTAAATGGCCTCATAAAAATTATTTGTCGTCGGAATCAATACAGAATTTGCAATATTTTTTTTCAATATGTTATAAAAAAAACATGTCAATATAGTATCAGACTAATTTTTTGCATATAATAAAATAATTTTATTTATTTTTTCCGTTTCATATGCGCAACTGAAAAAAGATTGTTATGCAAAGAACTCATGATGCATATTGCATTACAAGAATTTAATTTTTGGTATTAAAAAGTTAAAATGTAAATAATCAAAATTTTAAACGCATTAATACATAAAAAAAATAAAATTACCTCTTATGCAAACCCTTCATGATTCTTTTTCTACTTCTGAAGTAACTTAAGTGCAACTGGTAGTATAATGCCTTGTTTTTATCTATCCATTTAGATAGTATACTGTTGCAAATCCGCTTTGCCCTATATTTATGATTCATTATAAGGACCATGGTAATGGATATTCGCTTTCAGCTAATATTGATTTTAAATTATTATCGATATCCGAATTTTTTATAAGTTCGCCTATTACCTGCTGTATGAAGTTCTGTTTTTTAGATTCAATTAATTTTCAAAAATAACATAATTAGTTATTTAATATTTGTTCCCGTTTTATAAATGAATTTTTTTAACATTTATAGTTATTAAAAAGAAAACATTATTATAATATGAAAATAGTTGATTACTTATATCTTGTGCCATTTATTTTCGACCAATACGATACATTCCAGAATTACCATCTCAACAGATTTTCGAGAATGAACAAACGTCTTATGTTCGTCCTTTTCAATTCCAATTACATTAACATAGCGATAACCATGACTAAACATTCGTCTTTAATACCCCATCTCTCAGATTTTTGAAATAAATAACAATTTCCAATATTAAATGTTCCGATAGCATTGCTAATTTCTAATAATAAATTAATGCCCTATATCCATCCTTTCAACTCCAATTCCATAACAATAACAGTTATCAAAATTATTTATCCCCATCTCTGCAGATTTTTGATAATAAATGAACGCTTTATGGTCATCCTTTTCAACCTCAATTCCATTTCGATAACAATATCCAATCCCGAATGTTCCATTAGTGATATTCATATTTTGATAATAAATAAATGCTTTATGCTCATCCTTTTCAACCCATTTGACAATTTGCAAGAACATTTTGAACCGTAAGATTGATCTAATTATCTAAGCAAAATTTGATAATATTATCTGGATTCTGCTTTTTCTTTATTAGAAATTGCACCAATGTAGCAAAAATTAAATGAGGCCTTTTGTCTTTTAAACTTTCTTCATTATACAGATTACACATTCTTTAACTATTTATTAAGAAAATTTTGTGAAAAGTCCTATGGCTTGTTATTTCCTAAATACAACTGGGTAACATTGTTGGTTATTTGAGTAATATTTGATGAATTGTTGATTTTTTCTGAATAAGTTGACATTTTTTTGTTGAAGGAAGAATATGTTTAGTGCTCGGCAAAATCAAACAAAAACTCGATTATCAAATTTTTGAATCTATCGATTTATAGTATTGTGCTTCATTTATAAAATCTATGTTTACTCTAATCTGACTTCAAATTTCATGTTAGTTACCACGAAGTCTAGGATTCCTGTTAGATTTATATACCATATTTATCCGCCATGTGTACCCGGCGTGATAAATAATGTAGATCAATTTTTTAAAATACTATTTATATGCGCATGTGATGTAAACAATTGTGTAATTCATGTGATTTGTAATTTTTCACTATGTGAAAAATTGCATCACACCGGGTACACATGGCGGATAAATACGGTATATACTAAAAATAAAATATTTAATGCACAATATTGTAAATTGATAGATTCAAAAACTCCATGAGTGCGACTTTTTACACTACCCTAAATTTATGACGTAGTATGTGATAGACTATTTGATGCAAGTCAAATTAT